ACGGTGGTTCGCAAAGAGGAGCTTATGCGGAGGCTTGCCTAGCGAGCGCCGTGCCAGGCTGCGCTGCGAGTCGGACTGCGGTACGGCTGTTGCGCCGGGCGCCTGCCCGCCCCCTCCGAGATCGGCCCTCGCCGCTGGCAGCCTGCGTGCCCCGGCCTCTGCGTGATCTGCTGCCGGGTGGGTTTTTTCCCTGCTCTCGGGTGTTGTGACCCCCAGGTTTTGGGGGAGATGTCTTTGTGAGGGGAGGGGGTACCTCGCTGCACCAGAACAAAATAACTTTATATCAACTTATAGTTCGTTTTGTTCCTTCTTGGAAACTGTTTGTTAAATTTAACAAACAAATATCTGTTTTGTTACATTAACTTGATTTCTAAGATGTTGTTTCACAAGCAGTCAAGGTTAAATAAAATCCAATGGCTAATGTGATGGGTATGACGAAAAGAAGTGCCTTACAGCTATTTGGCTCTGTAAGTGTGTTTTCCCAGTCGTGAACCTTCTCGGGAATGGCCCTGTGTTGGTATTTAAATGACTGAGCGTGACGTTTGTACTTGTGCAGCTTACGTTCATATGCTCGTGGTACTGTTTTAGTGACTTGAATGAGAACGGTAACTGTTCGTCATAAATGAAACCAATGTGCTTTTTTTGATAACGGAGTGGAAGCTCTGTAGTTAACTTCATGAAGACATACCTAATTTCTCTGCTAATTACCACATATCTACTGACATGCAACAGGATAAGAGAGATCTAGAAACTGAAGCAGTGTCATGCAGCTCTGAAAATGAGAAAACAACTGAGAAAGAGTCTGCCATTCCTTAAAAAGAAAGGAAAAAAAAAACAGGGGGAAGGGGGGACAGTCTAGGAACGTTATTTCCTTACTATTCTGTAAACTGGAACTGTTCTGTTATGATTTCCTTTAGAGATGGTATTTCCTCCGCTTCCTTTCCAAAAGTTTTTGGCTGTTTTTAGGTGCCTAGGCTCAACCCCCACTGGATGGGGAAGAGCACCGTGCTCTGGGCATCTGCATCCATCTAATGGTTACTTCTGTGTTGCCCCTTTGAATAACAATTCTGCCAGGCCAGGAAGATAAGGAACTGGCCAGCTATGCTAGTGTTAAGTGAAAGGTTTTAGGCTGTCTATGGAAATGAGTGCAGATTCTGAGAGCAAAGAGAAGAGTTTAGGAACTCTTATGGATGAGGAGGAAGAAATGGCAATACTAGCCCTGGATACCTAACGCGTAGAGGGATATGAGGAAATGAGACTTCTTGATTTTAGTTTCTTTCTCCTGTAAGTAGCACAGCATATGAAGCATGTGGGTCTTGGATTGACGACAGCTTGCTGACCTGCAGCTGAACCG